TCCTGCTTCTTGGCAGGGGGTTGGACTGGATGGCCCATGAGGTCTCTTCCAACTCTTTGATTCTATGATGTACTGACATATCATGGCCATAATTGTTGTTTGGTAAAATACATTTGTTTCTATGTCCAATGTGATGGTGTTTGTAGCCATTTCATTACCAGTAGTGGCTACTCCCTTCCATATCAGTGGGCTGGTGAATCTATTCTGAGGTTTAGTTGGAACTTTAAAGGAGCTATTTTGGTTGGGTTTTTATATTATTGTTTATGTATCATGTAATGTTGTAATTTGTGCTCTGCACTGTGTTTTTACTTCTTGTAAGCAGCCCTGAGTCCTGTTTGGAGAGGGGACAGGATATGAAAAAAGATTATGATTATGGGTACTGAATCCTATCACCAAAATATGTTCAATATCTTGGATACTTTCTCTGAAGTTTGGAGTAAAACCAGAATGGATCCCCTGCCATCCCACTAACATGGAAGCCAGCAACGTCCGCCATTCATTATTTCAAGAGAAGAATATCTTGATTTATCTGCGCTCAAACAATATTTTTGGTTCCTAGCATACAGGGCTATTTGAGGCAAAGTTCAAAAACGTACTTGGGAAAATTTGCTGTGGTGTATGTGTATGTGAGGAGAAGATGTGTGTCTCAAAAAACAAATTTACCCCAAGTTTTTAAAAGTGTTTTTGTGTTTTGAAATTAATATTTCAGAAATACTGGAAGCAGGATGGTCGATGCTTCAATTTTATGGTGAGTTGCATTCCCATTTAATTTTTTTAAGTTGACAAACTATGGTAGATGTAACAAAGTGATTCCTGCTATAAATCTATTGTTTGAGATCTCAGCGTTACCCTTTTATCCTATATGTGTTATAGTTAACAATAGGCTTACTCTGGGTGTGGTTCCTTGGTCACACCAAGAAACCAGTCACTGAATGAGATTACCTTACATAAAACAGTAGATTTTCAATCTTTTGCAGCCTAGGACAAAGTCTGAAAGTAAACTGTCTCCTTAGAATCATAGAATCAGAGTTGGAAGAGACCTCATGGGCCATCCAGTCCAACCCCCTGCCAAGAAGCAAGAATACTGCATTCAAAGCACCCCTGACAGATGGCCATCTAGTCTTAGCTCTCAACACTCCTCTAGATGTCTCTGCAAAATGTAGTTTCCACATTTCACCCCCCACTCCCATCATAATAGTAAATGTTTTGAGTAATCAATAATAAATGACAGATGGGATGATAGTATTCTTGGGGATTAGGTTAGCTCAGGGAACATTCTGAGAATTTATATGGTTTATGTCTCAGTAAGGGAAAAGGCTAGTCATATGTAAACAAAAGCCACACATTTGAGCTAGTTTTGTATACTGTATATTTAGTTCTTCCCTCCTGGCAGGATTATTGCTTTCTCATCTGTAATTTGATAGCTTGGTGCAGTGACACAAGGTACATAAATGTAGCAAATGCACTGAAGAGAAGAGTTTGGAACAAACAACAACAGAATAAAAGCCCTACTGAGCTACATTGCTCATCCTCCACCAGTTTGCCTTGTAATGGATAATCAAACCACCAGTGGAAGGCAAACAACACAAAAACTTGATTTCTTGAAAATTCAGTCCACAAATGTTAGAACACACGGTATAAACAATGTCCCACAAATACAAATTTGTGTCTGCTTCAAATATTCTTGTAATGACTGGATACAGCTGTGAATAAAAAGGCACTTTTTGTGGTTGTTATGCTACTTAATTTATATCTTGTACTTTTTCAGCACTGGGCCATGATATGCCTTACAAAGATTAAAATGCATACAAAAACATCAGGAAAGCTTATGATTTCACAATAGTCCAGGTAAGTTTATACTGGAGAGGTTGTACTTAATGTTTCTCTAGATCAGTGGTTCTCAGCTTGTGGGTCCTCTGATGCTTTGACCTTCAACTCCCAGAAATCCTAACAGCTGGTAAACTGACTGGGGTTTCTAGGAGTTATATGCCAAAACACCTTGGGACACACAGGTTGAGAAACACTGCTCTAGACTGATAAAGTATATCAATAGATAGATATACTGGCCCCTTGGTATCTGCTGGAGTTTGGTTCCTATTATATAAACAGGTGTGGTATAATTGTGTCCCTTATATAAAGTGGCAAAAGCAATCTTAACTTTGGGGATTTTTTTGAATATTTTGAGCTATGGATATAGAATCTGTGGATATGCAGGGCTGGCTACATTAAGTCAAATGGTGACTCAAAGTAGGAGAAGGGACTGGGAGAGAAACTGCTCCCCTCTCAGATGAAAGGATGGGAGGAAGATAACCATGTAGTACTCTTGAAGCCAGGGACAGAAAGATAAAGGTAGCATGGCCTACTTTGCATTGTAACTCTAAGATCAACCTACCAAACTGACCGATTGCTGGACTGTGGCCCAACCACATCTGTGGCCATCCCACAATTAGGTCTTGTTCGCAGATACCATGAAGAAGAACCCTTTAACTGCCATGGTTTTATCCTAGAGAACACTGGAGTTTGCAGTTTAGGGAATGTACAATTCTCGGTCAGAGAGCTCAACAAACTACAAATCCCAGAATTCCACAGATTGGAACCATGGCAATTTAAATAGAATAATAATGCTAAAATGATGTTGTGTGAAAGGTCCTCAGAGCTTTTTTAAGTAACTGCAATAGCAAGTTAAGCAGAGACAGAAGCCCCAAGCCAAATAACATATAAGTACATATAGACTTTGCTATGAGAGAAAGCCGATTCAGATTATTTAACAACTAACAAAAAAGAGTGACAATAAATGCCTTCACTAAAATGAAAAAGTTTCAAATAAACCATAAATGAAGCTTTTAAAACGAAAAATCTACATGCTTTGCCTTTCAAGGTTACTCTACTCCTGTTTGTTCACCCTGTCTACTCATTCCAGTTATTTACTCCTGAGAAACAAAGATGTTTTCTACAAGATTACACCAGCTCTGATGAGTCCAGGTCTGTACCTTTATGCACCTTCCAGTCAATTCCACAGTTTTATGGTGATCCCATCAATTTAATGGGATTTTCTCAGGCAAGGAATACTTTGAGGTAGGTTTGCCAGTTCCTTCCCTTGAACTAAAGCACCTAGCAGTCATTCGTTGGCTCCCATCCAAGAACTAACCAAAGCTTACCCTGCTTAGCTTCCAACAACAGATGGGATCTGGTAGCTTTAGGGTATTAAGGTGGCTTATTAAATCCATTCTTTTTTAAAGGAATGATGTAGAATGTTTCAAAGAGGAGGAAGAAAAAAAGTATCACCAGACATACGACCCTTTCACAAGGGATTCTCCCTAAGCTGAGTACATGGCTGGAGGAATTGAGATGTTCAATCACAAATAATTGCAACAATAAAGATATTTGTGTCGAGCCTTGCGGTCTTTTCCTTTTTGAATCATTCTAATATAAAGGAATGATTGAGATGTGCAATCACACTTCATTGGCTTCAAAATGAAGATGGATGACCACTTCAAGGCAGAATACACCACTGCAAAATTCAGGCCTGTATCCAGGGCCTGGGGAGCTCTTTCAGTCTGAATACAAAGCTACAATCTTACATTTATGTTTTTTCTGATTAACCTGCTATGTGATATTTTATCACTCCATTTCTTATGTTCTTAGTTTGGATGCACATGTGTGTGTGTGTCTTCAAGGCACTTGTCGATTTATGGTGACTCTTTGAATTTCAAGGAATACTCAAAGGTGCATTTGCTGTTCCTTCCTCTGAAATGTACGTAGCTTACAGCTGCTCTGAATCTTCTTGAGAGAGAGAAAGCAGGATACAAATACTATAAATAAATACTTACTGACAATTTCCCACCTCAGCAGCTTCCAAATTCAGCCATAATCTTGGGATTCCGTTTAATTTGATTTATGAGAGAGCAAAAACATCTAATATGGATATACAGGTTTAAGGGTACATATTCCCCTGCATTCACACCATTTAAGCTGTAACATCACTCTCCTTTCAAACAACAAATAGTTGTTTAAAAAGAGGAGACTTTCACGGGATTTTTCTCTTTCCTAGGATTTCCATTCTTTGCAAATTAGAAAATCAGATACACATACCCTTTCTTTAAATCAGCGGTTCTCAACCTTCCTAATGCCTCGACTCCTTAATACAGTTCCTCATGTTGTGGTGACCCCCAACCATTAAATTATTTTCATTGCTACTGCTGTGAATCGTAATGTAAATATCTTATATGCAGGATGTATTTTCAGTCACTGGACCAAATTTGGCACAAATACCCGATAGATACGTCCAATTCTGAATACTGGGATGTGTGGGTGGGGATGGGGTGGGTTGGTTTTGTCATTTGGAGGTGTAGTTGCTGGGATTTATAGTTCACCTACAATCAAAGAGCTTTCTGAATTCCAACCAACAATGGAATTGAACCAAAATTGGCACACAGATCTCCCATGACTAACAGAAAATACTGGAAGGTTCTGGTGGGCAGTGACCTTGAATTTGGGAGTTGGAGTTCACCTATATCCAGACAGCACTCTGGATTAAAATATAAGGATCTGGATCAAACCTGACATGAATCTTCAATTTGCCCAAATGTGAACACTGGTGGAGTTTGGGGAAGATAGACCTTGACATTTGGGAGTTGTAGTTGCTAGGATTTATAGTTCACCTACAATCAAAGAACATTCTGAACCTCACTAACAATAGAATTCAGTCAAACTTCCCACACAGAACTCCATGACCAACAGAAAATAGTGTTTTCTGATGGCCTTTGGTAACCCCTCTGACATGCCCTCGTGACCCCCCCCCCTCCCCCAAGGGGTCCAAACCTCCAGATTGAGAAACACTGCTTGAAATAGCGGCAATTTAAAGAAGCTAGAAAATATATGATCAATACCACAAACATTGAAAATGGAGCTAACATTTTAGGCTCTGGCAGCAGGACTTAACAACGTCTCATCACTCGCAAGGTATTTCGCACACACCAAAAGCTGCCAACTTTTCCCTATACTGTAGTGTCCCTGTGAATAAAGGATATCATGAGGTCCTGATGTCCCTAGATGGCTCTACACCCCCATTTTCAACAGGCATAAATTTGGAGATATCCTTCCTTTCAATTAAGGAGCTGTAGTACCTGATACAAAAGCCAGAATAAATATTCTAGTGCACTTTTAACTAGGAATCATGCGCCAAAATAGCTAAATGTTTCCATAATTAGCTGCCGTTAAATGAGCACCATCGATGTGAGTTTCCATCATTAACTTAGGAACAATGGGATGAACAAGTTTGCACCTGGAAAGAAAACCACATATGAAGCATTTTTACAGAAATATGGTTTCGCTTCAAAGAAAAGTTAATAGCCTGAACATGAGCATTAACATTTCTCGATCACATCTTCAACGCTGATATGATCTGCATTTACCTTCTAAAAATCATTGCCTGCTAAAGAGCTGGTTCTTAATTGCCAAACGGTGTTTCTTCCTTTGTTGAGGTAACAGTCCTTGAAGCTCAATGCAATATTGGAGGTTCTACTTTCTTATCCACAATTGAGAGCTCTGAGCTTGACAAATGCCAGGAACAGGGGCTTTTCTGTGGTACCAACATAGTTTGGAAATGGCACCCACCCAGGAGTTCACACTGTCTCCTTTTTGCTGGCCTTTTAGCGATTTGAAAGATTTATCATGAAACCTCACATCTCACCACTCAGAATTAAGTCTACATAGTGGAATTTGTTCCCAGGTAAGATGGTACCAGATTGCAATCTTATTTATTGTAGCCTACTTTCAGCATACTTTATTTTTAGCCGAGGGCTCATCTGTCACTGCCATCTTGATTGGGTTTTTTTAATGCTTTGTCGACTGAATATAGTTTCTTCTTTTTAATGGTTTTATTATTTCAAATCAAAGTACTCTGCAATGTATTCTGTAATATATTTTGTGAGAATTTTGTAGCTTGTTGAAAAACTTGAAGAGATTGAGAGGCATTTCTTCCAAAGTGTATTTCCCACTGAATAGATACTGCCACTGAACCGAAAAAGTAATAAGAATGCATTTTTTAGCATCGGGCATCACTTTATTAAAAAGCAAATGCACACATCATTTCCTGACAGTTATGTGTATTTGTTCATGTTGCAGCTTTAAAACGCTATAAATAATTAAAAGCATATCCATCGTTTCTGAAATTATAAAAAGGGATTCATAAATCTAACAAGGGAAACTTCATAACCAGCATCTAGCAGCCTGACACTAGATACCTTGCACCCTTGTGCCACTTTGCAAGAAAAGAGAACCATTGGTCTCAATTGCTTTAAAGCAGCTGGCTAGAAACTGCACTTTGGCAGCAATTAGTCAAGTGAAACAATAAGTGGGGAGATGTCACCTAATAATATAAATACAGTTGTCCTATATTTGCAACTTTGACTTTTGAAGAATCCACAGATTTGCTCATAATGTTCTCTCTTGGAATATCAATGTTCATTCCCTTTGGGAAGATTGGGGGGGGAGGTTACAAATAAAGATGATGGTGATGATGATGACTACAATGATGATTACAAGGACAGAGAGAGGTGTTCAGCCTCAACCACAGGCTGGGGCATGTTTTGATGCTTCAGTATAATTTCCAAATGAGAATGTCACTCCATGGTTACTTAATTGAGATATTTAAAGGCATTAAGTATCTGGAGCCAGAGGATGGTAATACCTCACCAAATTGCCAATCACAGATTCCACAGGATGCAACCATGGAAGCTGAAATGGAACCCTTGTGATGTAGATATACCTCAGGTAGCCAAATAAATGTCTTCTTGGGCTTAACGTCTTTAACAGAACCTTGAAATGCATCCTGGATGATTTTAGGCTATCTTTTTCCATTCTCATGGCCACATCTATGTTCTTCTAAGAGCTGGTGGCCAGGCTTATGTAATTTCCACATTTCTCTCTGGTTTGTTCTTCACATATGCTCCAATAAGGGATTCTAAAGGCAGTGGCTGTTTTATCTTGCTGGTGGTAGTCAGACATAGCTACAGTAGGATTAACTAGAACAGGCATGGGCAAACTTTGACCCTCCAGGTGTTTTGGACTTCAACTCCCACAACTCCTGGTCTGAAGCCCCTTCCTTAAGTGGCTGAAGTGGGAAAAGGAAAGGGCCTGAGGCCAGGAATTGTGAGAATTGAAGTCCAAAACAGCTGGAGAGCCGAAGTTTGCCCATGTCTGAACTAGAACATAACCCAACATGTTCCTAGCTTAAGCATTATTGCATTGCTTATTGCAGACACATCACTACAACCTGATACTCAAAATCAGTGTTACTCCAGTCCTCTTTTACCTACCACCCCTAATGCCAATGCTGCTAAAAGCCATGCGGCTGGGCAGAAAACAAAGGGGGGGGGGGCAGACTGGACTAGCATTAAAAGACTTTGCAAAAAGAAGCTTCTTTGTTAGAGGCGTTTAAAACCGTGGTATATCTCTACTTCTTTAGTGTGAAGAGTCCCCAGGACACTGTTTATCATCAGTATATAATACTTGCTTTTCAAAAACAAAAGTGATTTCTGATCACTCTAATTTCCCCTGGGGCAAAAAAATATTCCCCTGCTCACCGCATATACATATACACAGACACACTTTGGGTGGGAAAAAAAAAACATCAGCATTTATGCAGCCATTGTGAAAGCTTTCTTTCAAAAATACCACATGATTTTGTGTATCCACAAACCAAGGCCTCCAAACTCCAACTAAAATTCTAATTTTTTGAGTCCTGTTGTTATTTCTGGATGTAGCTACTTTTCCAAGACTTGCAAAACCTTCACGTGCAAATTACTTTGTGCAGTATGGCCAATATTGCATCAAAGGACCTTTCTTTTACTTTGCGTTTTTAAAAAATATAGCCTAAAATGGTGATCTGCTACCTAACTGAAGAGATGTGTGCACGTCCATGCATGTCCCTTCTGTTTTAACTGTGTAATCTTTATAAAAATCTATTTTAAAATAACTCTTAAAAATAGGCGAAACACCCTTGGGACACACCCAGGCTTTGGAGTTAGAATAAATATGATTTCATAAATATGAACAAAGATAAAGATTACACTCTTGTACCATTACACATGCCAAGTCTTACCACAACATTTGCCATTGAAATAAGTGCCAGAGGTCATTAAAACTAGATACTAGCACTCTACTGATATTATTGCAAGAGAAAACACATAGATGAGTTGCTCAAGCTTTCACCCCTTCATATCACTCTGTACAAAAGGAACATCATTCCGATTTTTCACCATCTGCAAGGAGATAATGGCAAAACTACAAGCATGAACAATATTCACCTCACAACAATATTCACCTCTGAGGATGCTTGCCATAGATGC